ATAGCGCATATCCCCGCTCAACAGCAGGCTCTATGCGCTTTTACACTATATTATTACCCCAGCAGACCATAGAACACTCCGAAACATTCTCAGCTTCCGCGGAAGCATACAGTGCAAGCTGCGGATTTCACGCGCTCAAACACTATCAAACTGACAAGATCTTTCTCTGTCTAAAACTGGGTACCCATTTCCACCTGGGTGAAGTGAAGAAAATGTGTGCAAAGTGCCTTTCCCAAGGACACAACGTCGGGCCCCTGACGGAATTCGAACCCACGACCTTACGGTTGCGAGTCCGAGAGCCACTAGGCCACTGACGTGGGATTCACGCTTTAAAACACGGGCGAATCAACAAACACCTGGATCTTGGATATGCCAGGTTTTCTCAGAGTGTTGGAAGCACTTGATATAATTTTCTCAGTGAAGTAAAAGGTATGCGTGTTGGTCATTCTGTGCAGAACATAGCAGAAGAAAGCTGTCGCATGTATAATGTTTTTCTCTCTTACAATTCCGTTTCAAGAAACAGCTGAGTATATTATCACCAACCAACCATGGTATTGGAACAGAAGAGTCATAGCCTTGCTAAAAACGCATAGCCTTCCATTTAACAAACAAACAAACAATCTTTATCGGTGGGAATTAATACATTCACCCTTATGAAAGAGGTGTAACTCTCATGAAATTGAAAATGAATTTCACTTTATTTTCTATTGTCCAAATTTTGTCTGTCAAAGGAAATTATTAATTCATGACAGCCTGATCCGGCCAAGTGACATGAATTTTATGCAATGTTTGACCCATTATAAGAGATATGTGTATTTAACAAAAGAGTGTTTTATATGATGTGATGTGGGCCAACGGCCATAAACACTGAAAAAACTCACTTACTTACTGAATCAACAAACAATGAACAAACAAACCACTTCTCCAGCTCTGGAGATGGTCAACATGACGTCACAACTGTCCCCCGCTTCCATGGAGTGCCGAGATGACCACAGGGGAGGCTCAACCTTCACCACTCTGGCTGCGTGAGTTCACACAGTTGTTAATTTTTTTCGTCTTAAAAAAAACAAACAAATTCAGTTTCGTTGAGTTGTGTTGAAAGAGACATAAAAGAAGAAAACGTAACTTCATAATACTAATAACAATAGATTGCATTTATATAACGCTCTATCACATACGAGTAAGGCTCTATGCGATTTCCATCAGTCACAAGATCACTGAGCGATTCACACAAGATTAAATATTTCAGAGTAACAAGAAAAAACAACAACAGTTCAACCACATAAATAAGAACTTTCACAACAATACAATAACTATATACACACAAGGCCAGCAGTAAAAACAAAGCATATTAACACTTACTAACACACTATGACTAAGAATTCAACATATGAGTCTTGAGCAAATTAAACGTATTAAGATTTTTTTTTCTCTGAGATCTTGGGGCAAGGAGTACCAGATTTTAGGGCTAAAAATGAGAAACTTTTCTCCCCTGAAGTCAAATCTGTCCACATTGATGTGGTCACTCAAGCTCAGAAATAAAACGTTCCTTATTGTGAACATACACCGTTATGTTTCTTGTTTGTGTACTGTCTCCAACACATTTCCCAATGCAGACACTGTTGGCGAAAGAGGGGCGGTTTGCGAAAGGGGGGGGGGGGGGGTTGGGGAGAAAGAGAATAGATAGATAGATAGATAGATAGATAGATAGATAGATAGATAGATAGATAGATAGATAGATAGATAGATAGATAGAGAGAGTGAGAGAGTGAGAGGGAGAGAAAGAGAGAGAGAGAGAGAGAGAGAGAGAGAGAGAGAGAGAGAGAGAGAGAGAGAAGGGGGATGCGAGTGAGAGAGAAAGAGGATGTTAGATGAGGAAGAGGAAGAAAAAAAGACAGAGAAGATCTATGAACAACAAGCAGAAAAATAAAACGTACATGTATTATTTTAGATTGTCCATTCCCATTTTTCAGGAAAGAGGGAATCTTTGGTTTGCACTCTCCTGATTCTATCTTAAGGGAGGGGGGGGTTTACACCTGGAGGCTATCTCGCTTATTACTGGAAGGAATTTTACCAAATTTCACACATATAACAAGCATAGTAAGGAGTCTTAAAATCCGCAATCAAATTTAAGAAAAAAGTTTTGTTTCCATGGATACGCCGCCATATTAGATTTTATTGACATGTCTTACGTAATGAATACCGCACTTATCGCTGATGGAAATTGATTGTTTTTTTGCATGCGTGTTCACAAACATTAGATCTCAAAATTTGTCTGTTGTTTTTTCCTAATCAACTTAGAAAATTTTGTATGAATTTTTTCCAGAGGTAGCATTCAGTTTTGCGAAAAATCCGTGAAAATCCACACTCCAGACACTACCAACAAAAATCTATTCCATATATCAAAAATTCAACAGACACATTTTTAGTATTACCTCTTCTCTTCATTCTGTGAAAATTTCATGAAGATTGGGTGAAAAATGGTGGAGTTATTTAAAAAAGTATAGAGAAAAGTCACATTTTGAGAAAACGGCCGATAAAGAAAAATAAAATACTGACTTTATGAGGAAATGGCGGTTACAAACATGCCCGGTATGTGAAAAAAATACGGTTTTAGGGGTTTTTTTATGCCTTGAAATAGTTGTAGGAAAGGCTGAGGAAGCTAAAAATGCCTACAACTCAAATTCCATGATTTTGAGTCAAATTTTGATTTTGAGGGTGTAGCCCCCCCCCCCCCCCTTAAACAACTATTTTCTTTTAATTCCTAGAATCTCTCTGTAGCAAGTTAGAAAAACAAACAGACAAACAGACAAATAAACAAACAAATAAACAGGCAGACAGACAAACAGACAGATAACAAATAAACAAACAAGCAAACAAAAAAGCAAAACCATTCTCTTCCACTCTTCAACAATAAATCCGATTTTCTCAAAGTGTATTCTAAAAATCCCCAGGATACTCTTCTCAATTATTGGCGCACTGATGATCGCGGGCACCGTAGTTGACGTCGTTTTCGTCCAGTTTCCGGCCTGGGAAGCTGAGATAATCAAGAAGTCACGTGGTCTCACCCACAAGGAAAGCACGTCGTCTGAAGGACAGGAACCCAGAAAATTGGGGCAGGAGAAGCCAGAACAAGAGGACCGGGCAGGGGAGACGTCTGCTCTCTTGGAGCGTTTCTTGAACTATGTTCCACCAAGTCCATTTTTGGGTGAGTAGACCAATTGATGAGAAAGTAGATGGTGAAATAATATATGTTTAAAGCCCTTATCATCACTGTTAGGTTGTTTAAGAGGCGGGACCTCCGAGTTTAAAGTCCATCTCTCGAAAGAGCTGAGCCAAACCTACATGGGAAATTCATGTAATGTGCCTTTCCCAGGGACACTATATCGGACAGAGCAGAAAGCGGATAAGTTAGTGTCTAATAATTGGCCAACTCACTGCTGGGTCAGGATGATTTTTTAAGGTACAGATAGATAGATAGATAGATAGATAGATAGATAGATAGATAGATAGATAGATAGATAGGTAGATAGGTAGGTAGGTAGGTAGGTAGGTAGGTAGGTAGGTAGGTAGGTAGGTAGATAGATGACCTTTCACCCTTAACGTCCCTAAAGTACTCTTGGTTTCATGCCTGGCGATATTTCTAAGATGACCTTTCACCCTTTGTGTCCCAGAAATCATCCTGCAGGTCCTACGCTCCTTCTCCGTCTACTCCAACGCCCAGAAAATCATGTCTACCAAAGAGGCCCCTGGCGCCATCGGCTGTATTCATGGACTCCGCTTCTTCAGCATGACCTGGATCGTCCTGCTTCATATTTACGTGATGTTTGTGACTTATCTAGGTGAAGTATATTTGTCTAGAGTTGAACGAATCGTGAGGAAATCAGGCGCTAGTCAAAATAATGAAATCGAAGATACTGGCATTTCCCTGCCCCTCTAGCTATTTGTATCGAATTTTTGTATTTTGGCTCAACACCTTTTACGTCCATTTAAAACACATTTCCTTGTTGTTGTTTTTTAGAAAAACGTTGAACAAAGGCACCAAATATGTAAATTCACAGCTTCCAAGGACTATCTGTCTTTGGAAATCACTAAACTTTAGCGCCTTTAGGTTCCTTCTGATACCAGGCAATCCTCACCCCTTTAAATCATAAACGTCGGTATTTCTATTCAAGAAAAAGATAACTATTTTCTCATCAAAAGCAAGACAAATACACAACCTTTAAGATGATACAAATAACTCCATATACCCAGATATTGACGAGCACCTGATTCTGTATACTTTTCTTAAACTCCCCTCTCTTTTTGATGTTATGACACACATGTAATTTTTTTAGGCTTTTCCACCCAGCTATTTAGACTTTATTGTGGACACTCTCGTGAAATGATATCGTTTTGTTGTTGTAGTTGATGTTTTAATGAGTATCCAAGCAGACACGAGTAATGGACCATGGTCACATTCATATTTGGCTTTTACAGAAGAAGAAGAAGAAGAAGAAGAAGAAGAAGAAGAAGAAGAAGAAGAAGAAGAAGAAGAAGAAGAAGAAGAAGAAGAAGAAGAAGAAGAAGAAGAAGAAGAAGAAGAAGAAGAAGAAGAAGAAGAAGAAGAAGAAGAAGAAGAAGAAGAAGAAGAAGAAGAAGAAGAAGAACAACAACAACAACAACAACAACAACAACAACAACAACAACAACAACAACAACAACAACAACAACAACAACAACGACAACAACAACAACGACAACAACAACAACAACAACAAGAAATGTTTATCTATCCATCCATCCATCAATTTATGTTGTCTATCTATCTATCTATCCATCTATCTATCTATCTATCTATCTATCTATCTATCTATCTATCTATCTATCTATCTATCTATCTATCTATCTATCTATCTATCTAAATCTATTTTATCCATAGCCAATCCCCAAGGATTGTTCACAGTAATAGACCGCTGGTCTTTCGACACCGTTTCCAACGCCTTTATTGCTGTAGACACATTTTTCACACTGGGGTGAGTGTAGCAGTGTACCGAATGTGAACAGCTCTAACTGTGTCACTGAAGGATATTGGTCAACGCTCTTTTTGACTTCGTTTGGTTTGCGTTGTTGTGTTTTGTTTTATTTGGATTTGTTTTTACTGGGGTATTTTTTTCGGTTTATGTTTCATTTTAAAATTTGTTGTTGTTGTTGTTGTTGTTGTTGTTGTTGTTGTTGTTGTTGCTGCTGCTGTTGTTGTTGTTGTTGTTGTTCTTCTTCTTCTTCTTCTTCTTCTTCTTCTTCTTCTTCTTCTTCTTCTTCTTCGTGTAGCTGTTGCTGTTGTTATTGTTGCTGCTGCTGTTGTTGTTGTTGTTGTTGTTGTTGTTGTTATTGTGTTTTTGTCCTTGAACCTATGACCAAGATCGTTCTGAAGTGACATTTCAAAAGTAAAGAGCCAGCATGGAGCACTGTAGATGATATATAGGTAACTGTGAGGCTTTCTTTTTTGTCTTTCCTCATTTTTCAAACACCAGAATTGGGGAGGGGGGATTCTTTTTGCCAAATAACTTTTTTGAAGACAGCAATTGCAATACTTAAAGCATAATTCCATCTACATTTAAAGTGGCGCTGGTCAAAATAATGAAATCGAAGAAACTGGCATTGTTCTGTCCATCTGGCAATTTTTATCGAATTTTTGTTTTCGTGTTTAGACTCAACACCTTTAAGTTTAAGGTCCATTAAAAACACATTTCTAAGTTGGTATTACTGAAAAATGTTGATTTAAGGCACAAAAATGTAAGTTTGCAGTTTCTGAGGACGTTCAAGCTTTGGCGGCCAATTTCTTGTCAATTTTCCCTCTGAAACCTGACGACCCCCATCTCCTTCAATGGCAAATATCTCGACTTCTATTCATGATAGATTAGTTGCTTTTTTCACCGAAAGCAAGACAAATGAACAAGTATTAAATAAATGATACCAATGAATCCCCATGTCTAAAAGTTGACGAGCTCCTGGTTCCACCACGTCGTGACATCTTTTATTCTTCTCTGCATCAGCCTTACCTCCCCTCCACCGAATTTGTTTTGGCCATTAGGCAGTCGCTTCGTCGTCCCTCGTTAATTCGATTCTCGAGTGGGAGACGTTGTTTTTATTAATATCGTGTATCTCTCTCAGCCCATGAAGGTAAAACTAATAGATAGAATTGAAGCAGTCAGCCTCCTAAGAGTTTTTTTTAATTTATTGATCCCAGAAGGACATTTTGGTTTACAATCGCATACATACATACATGCATACATACATACATACATACATACATACATACATACATACATACATACATACATAACGCAATATGATACCAATACAGAAGAATTTCACAACCATGTCATTGCTGGTCACCACTGTGCAGCGCCCTGTTTGTTGACCTAGGGTTGTCGAGTCTTGCTCAAGAACACACCCCAGAGACCACCCATCTAATCCCCGTGTCACCGACACTTGCTTGACTTTACTCTTGTAAAGTCACTACTGGGGGCTCTCGTGGCCTAGAGGTTAAGGTGTTGGCCTCTCATTCTAAAGTCCCGGGTTCGAATCCGGGTAGCGACCGAAAAATGTTCTTCTCTAAAATTGTCTCCTTTCCCCTCCTTTTCTGCTCTCTAGCAATGTTCTGTCTTCTACTTTCGTCTCTTCTTTCTGCAACAACCCCTTCACCTCCTTTGCCCCCTTCTTTGGGCTCCTGACTCTTCATGCAGTCTTTCTACTGATACGCCTTGGTTTCTTCTTACTACTGTCTTTCAGCCACACCTCTCATCTTCTAGTAGGAAAGATCTACACCTAGCCTTCTCGGATGAGGGCGAAAAATCTCGGAGGGCCCGTTTTCAAGTTGCGAACGTTAAAGATCCCTTGGAGGTCTAAAATCGATAAGAGTAGGCTTCGGCTGCCACCCGGGTAAAATTCCAAATTTCCTTCCAATTGAAAATATCAGGTGTGTCCCGCGCGCTCATATGTCCTTATGCAATTGCGAGCGCCGTAAAACACTTTTTTTTTTAAACCACTACTCACTTAGCCACTGGAGCCCTCAAACGTGCCAGTGTCCATGGGAGCTCAAATCTTCTAAAGTTACTAGCTCTTATTCTTTTTCAAGTTACTATTATTGTTTTACGGCGCTCGCAACTGCATAAGGTCATATGAGCGCACGGGACACACTAAACATTTTCAATTGGTAGGAAATTTGGAACTTTGTTCGGGTGGCAGCCGAAGCCTACTCTTATCGAGTTTGGACCACTACGGGACCTTTAACGTGCACAACTTGCACATGGGACCTCAAAGATTTTTCGCCCTTATCCGCCGAGAAGGCTAGGTGTAGATCTTTCGTGCCAGAAGATCAGGGGTGTGGCTGTAAGACAGCCATAAGAAGGAGCCAAGGAAAAGCAGTAGAAAGGCTGCAAAAAGAGTCAGGGGCCCAGAAGGGGGGGGGCAAAGGAGGGACAGGGTAGGGGCAGAGAGCGGGAACGAAATCAGATGACAGAGCATTGTTAGAGAGCAGGAAAGGAGGTGAAAGGAGACAGTTTTAGAGAGGAAAATATTTTTTTCGGTCGCTACCCGGATTCGAACCCTGGCATTTGAATGAGAGGGGAACACCTTAACCTCTAGGCCACGAGAGCCTCCTTTTTCATGTTAGAGATAGACGGTAAGAGATTGTCACCGACGTTACGTGTTGTTTCTAGGGGTTTCCTCGTGTCGTACCTTAAGCTGAAACCGTGGATGGAGAAAGGAAGGAGCGTCAACTGGCGTCTGTTCTACTTTCATCGTATCTGGAGGTGAGTCTATAGTGTGTGTGTGTGTGTGAGAGAGAGAGAGAG